CAATCAATTCTTCATCATCATCAACAAGATCCATAAAGAAAAAAAAAAAAAACAGAATTTTTTTTTTACTTTTTGCTCTTGGGTTCGTTCGAACCCAGGAAGCCAGGAATCCACCTAGGTTCGAAAGAACCCAGGAAGCCAGGCGTCCTCCTGGGTTTGTCCTCTTCCTCAGTTCGTTCGAACCCAGGAAGAGGTCGAACCCAGGCATCCTCCTGGGTTCGAAAGAACCCAGTAAGCGTTGGGTTTGAAAGGGAAAAGAAAGGGAGAGAGAAGAAAAAAAAAAGGTAGAATTTTTAAAGTTTTTTTTTGACATTTTTTTTCCATGTCATCACTTTTTTCATGCGTGCATATGATGTGGCACGTTATTTTGACACGTCATCATGCTGCAGTTAATTAACATGACACATCATTGGATTTTTAACGAAGGGACTAAATTGGGGTAAAAATGGTAAACAGTAGGGACCAAATCAGGGATTTTTTGAGTTGAGGGACTAAGTCGGGGGTCCGTACAATAGTTGAGGGACCAAAATGGGGGTTTAACCAATCTCTTATATGTCTCTCACTGCTCACTTTATTGACAATAATTGGAATTTGCAAAAGAAGATATTGTGCTTTGTCCCTGTGGATAACCATAAAGGGGATGACTTAAGGGATATGCTAGAGAAATGCATAAGAGAGTGGGGCATTGATGGGTCTATTGTATTACTGTTGACAATGCTAGTGCAAATGATGTGTTGGTCAGGTCATTGAAAGAATGATTTAACAAATGGGGAACTAGTGTGTTACGGGGGAAGGATTTGCATATGCGTTGTGTAGCACACATTTCAAACTTAGTTGTCCATGATGGTATGAAATTATACAACAATTCTATGGAATTAGCAAGAGCTTGTTGCAAGTGGGTTAGGGAAAGCACTTCGAGGGTAAAATCCTTTAAGGAAACAGTTGCATTTGAGGAAATTGATTTCAAAAAGAATGTGTGCCTAAATGTCCCCCATAGGTGGAACTCATCTTATGATATGTTGCAAAGGGCTAAGAAGTATGAACAAGCATTTGTAAGGTAACATACAAATTACTAATTTTGGATAAATTTTTTATATTAAATTTCCACTGCTCTTTTTTTTCTAAATCTGATTTTTTTTTTTAAATGTGAAATAGGCTTGCAAGGCAAGAAAAAACATTTAGAGATGAATTGAGTGCTCTTAGTGCTCTTAGGATTCCAGACTTCTAAGGATTGGGAAAACATCAGAAGATTAACTAGATTCCTTGAGCATTTCTATTTGTTTACTTTGAAGGTAAAGTGTAATTTTAGTAAATGAGATTTTAAATAAATTTAATTTCTTATTTTGTGAAAATTTTTTGCCTTCATTATGATTTCAAGCTTCTTGACTTTTCCTTCATCTAGAGTTACAAAAGTCATTCTTTAATTCTGACATTTTAAGTTTGTATTTAAATTCAATTGTTGAAGACTTGAAGTTGCTTTTAATTTTAACATTGTAAGATCTTTTTTCCTATAGGTGAGTGGGAGCTGGTATTGTAAAGTTAATTTCTTGTTGCATGAATTGTGTGAGATTAAGACTCTTATAAACAAATGGGAAATCTCCAAAGAGAATGACTTAGCTACTGTGGCATGGATCATGAAGAAAAAGTTCAAAAAATATTGGGGGGATCTAACAAAAATTGTAATACCTCAAAAATTTGGGTACTTATGTTGAATAATTAATTAATTTATGTATGAGAGGACTAATCTAAAAAGGGGATTTTATTGGGAGACCAAGTTGCCTCATTCTTCAATCTTGGGGATGTTGGCATAAAAAAAAGGATGGTGTGGGGGAGGGGGGGGCTGCACGAACAGATTAAAGGAAAAGGAAAAACCCAATTCTCTTTTAGGTTTTCCTCTTCTTTTTTAGGGTTTACCTCCTTTCTTCTAACCCAACACCAGATCAAGATGTCATTGACTTCCTGGCCTCTATATGATGCTTCTTCTTCTCCTAATCAAGATTTTCTACTATCCGATCTTTGAATGCCTAGTGGGTGCTCATTTTGCAACTTTCTAGTACGAAATTAGCCCTATTACTCATCTTTTCATCCTTCATTTGAAGTGGGTTAGCTACGATCATTTAAGGTTTTCAATTTTGGGAGTGTTTCTATAGTTTCCCCCTTGATTTTGCTCATAATGTAGCATCATTAGCTCTGATCCCTCTTTTTGTTTCAAATTCGGACTGCATGACCTTGCAGTGGTATTTTTTTCATAACTCTTTTCGTAGTTGTCAAATTAAGTTGATTCTTAATTTTGTGGAAAACTGAGAGATATCTCTACAATGTATCTGTTGAACATTTAACCTAGTTTAGCTATTTGCATGATGAAAACTTTGCTGCAACTTTGATTCCCTGACTTAATTGGCAGCCTAATCTTGTGTTAGTCTTTTGGCCATAACTCTCTCTATAGATGTCAGATTAAGGTAACTATTGAGACTATAGAATGCTAAGACATCAGGCTACAACTTATCTGTTGACCACTCAACCTAGATTAATCAATTTCTAGGCATGAATTTTGTTGGAAATTCCAGTTCGAAATCTCAGTTCGAAATCTGACCAAAATTTGATAGTAATTTACTCTATTTTCTACTTTATTCCCACTATACTTACTGCCATATTGCATCATGATTTTACTAGATTTTTAATTATTATTTTCATGCTCTAAAACCTTTTGTTATTACTTTACCTTGGTTGCCCTTTTTGTTACTTAAATGCTATCCATTTTTGCCCAGTTCTAGCTTGTGTTCTACTCTGTTTTGTTGTTGTCTTTTTTGCCTAGAAATTCCTATTGTTCAAGGCTTTTTCTAAGCATTTTGGGATGGTTTTAAATAGCAAAAAAATCCCCACCTTACTACCCAACTTTTGTGTTGCTATTTAAGGGTTGATTTGAGCTTAGTTTCTCATATTTTTCGTTGTGTTTTGCCCAGTAAAATCTACTTGGAAAACCCATAATATGTTGGGTCTCTTGCAACTGTTTTAAGCATATTTATGTATGATTATGCATATGAATAAATATATATTAGTAAGGTTTGAAAGGGTAGAGGTGATCAAGAGGTGTAGGAGGAAATTGTTCCTCGAGTTAGAAACTTGATTCTGTAATTAGAAATCAAATTAGTTACCTAGAGTATATTGTGATCTTGTCTATTTATTGATGTGGTATAGGTTCAAAATCATCTCAATAGCCTCAAGTTTTTTTTTTTTTTTGAATTTCTTGCTTATTGTATACCTATAAGGCGAGGTAAGTAAATTTGTGGTAATGCCCTTGGATTTTGAGGTAAAAGCTTTAAAAGTATATTCTAAACTCTTTTTGAGATGGTGGTAGGATTTAAATTGATTTTTTTTTTAACATATGAGCATGATTGATTTAAAATAAAGTTATTAATAGGTTAAACCCCCATTTTGGTCCCTCAACTATTGTACGAACCCCTGACTTAGTCCCTCAACTCAAAAAATCCCTGATTTGGTCCATATTGTTTATCATTTTTACCCCAATTTAGTCCCTCCGTTAAAAATCCAATGACGTGTCCTGTTAATTAACTGAAACATGATGATGTGTCAAAATAGAATGACACCTCATATGCACACCTGTAAAAAAAATGACATGGCAGTATGATTAGGATCCAAAATATATAAAAAAAAAAAAGAGTGGGCCCCACCTCCTGCAAATCTTGAACTCTTCTCCCCCATTCTTCCCATTCCCAATTCCCAGTTCCTCATCTTGCCTAGCCTGCTTCATCAATCAATTCCTTCATCATCATGAAACAACAAAC